GAACCCTGATAAATGTGTGTTTGGCATCACCAAACTTAAGTTTCTAGGGCACCTGTTGGAGAATGGAACAATCAGTCCTGACCCAGACAGACTTACACCACTCAAAGAACTACCGACTCCGAACTGTGGTAAGTCACTCAAACAAGCTCTGGGTCTCTTCTCATACTACTCACCATGGGTGGAGAATTTCTCTGACTGCATTTCGCCTTTGCTAAATATCTCCTCATTTCCTATTGCCGAAGAACTCAAGAGTCAATTTCCGGCAATAAAAGATGAAATTTGCAAGGCTTCGGTTGTGGCCATTGAGGATGAAATTCCATTCACAATAGAAATGGATGCATCTGCAACGGCATTGGCAGCTTGCCTCTCTCAGAATGGACGCCCAGTAGCATATTTTTCTAGAACTCTTACTCAATCTGAGCGTCGACACTCGGCAGTGGAGCATGAATCAGCAGCCATTATAAAATCTGTTTTTAAATGGTGTGATCTTTTACTCGGCCTATATTTTACTATCGTTACAGACCAACAGGCCGCCTTATATATGTTCAACACACGGACACCAAACCGTATTAAAAATGATAAGCTACTTCGATTGAGACTTGAACTTTCTAACTACTCTTATGATATTGTATACTGACCAGGTTCACTTAATAGCTCCGCAGATACTCTTTCCCGTTCATGCTCTGCTTTGTGTTCATTATCACTAAAAGATCTTCACGCAGCACTCTGTCATCCAGGAGTAGCGAGACTGTATCATTTTGTTAAACAAAAGAATCTGCCTTTCTCTATGGAAGATGTTAAACATATCTGTGCTGAATGCCAAATATGTGCTGAACTAAAACCAAGGTTTTTCAGACCTTCCCCTGGTCGCTTAATCCATTCTCAATCCCCTTTTGAATGCCTTGCTATTGATTTCATGGGCCCAAAACCATCAACAAATAGTTTTAAATATCTACTCGTGATCGTGGATGAATATTCGCGCTATCCTTTCGTCTATCCATGCCAAGACATCTCAACAGGAACTGTAATAAAATGCCTCCAAAATCTCTTTACCTTCTTTGGCTGCCCAGATTCAATCCATAGTGACCGAGGGAGCCAGTTCGTATCATCTGAACTGAAAGAGTTTCTCTGGCAACATGGCGTTGTAATTAGCCACTCAACACCATACCATCCAATCGGCAACGGACAATGTGAGAGGGCAAACAGAACAATATGGAAAACGATCAAACTTGCACTCAAGACGAGGCAACTGGATGAACGTCATTGGCAAGCTGTACTCGACATTGCTCTGCATTCAATTCGATCTCTCCTTTGCACAGCAACTGACACAACACCACATGAAAGATTGTTCAATTTTTCGAGAAGGTCGGGTACCGGATACACCCTACCTGAATGGTTGCAAGGTCTGGCGCTGCTAAGAAAGTTTGTCCGTCAACACAAGTCTGACCCACTAGTGGAACCGGTGGAAATAATATCAGCAACTCCCAATTTTGCGAGAATTTGTTTCCCTGACAGCCGCCAGTCAATGTTCTCAACAGAAGAACTTGCCCCCACTCCTGTTACTGGCCCATCGCTTGTAGTTTTGGATTCTCCTGTCTTCACTGATCACTGTGAGTCATCGAGTTCTACCCCATCAAATAACAATGAACCAGAAATGTCTACTGACCAACAAGAAACCACAACAAATGGGGAATCCTCCACTTCAGTTGTTGAAATGAAGTCTCGAGATTTAGAACAGCAGCAGCGGTCGCACTTAGGGAAGGATGCTCTGGGATTTCTTCCCGAATCATCAAGATGAGGACGAAAGATCATCCATAACCCGAAGTATCAATAAAATGTAGCGGAGTGTGTTGTGATATACTTATAATTCTTTTGTATTCATTCATTTAATACCTTCTACTTATCTGCATACGAACTGTTGTGTGATTTTGCGTTGGTTCACGTCATGTAATCTTGTGTTTATAAATAACAGTGGGGCGCCTCTTTCTTCCTCTCTGGTGTCTGTTCGTCCATATCTTCTAACTATGTAACTGGTAACTATATATGCCTTTTTTTTTATTTTGATTAAAACCTTAATATTCAACTTTCTAAAAAGGTCTCTTTTCATTACAGTAATCATTAATACCAAAAACGTGCCTTGATCCTAAGAAAGCCATTGGCCCAGACAAAATTCCAATGACTGTCCTTAAGAAAATCAATCTGGAATTATCCCTGATCATAGCAAAGTTATTCAACCACTGCTTGAAAGATAAATCCTTCCCAAGCTTGTGGAAGGTGTTAAATGTATGACTGGTATTCAAAAACGTGTAATCTTCTCTCTCCCAGTACAGACCCATCAGTCTCCACAGTATCATCAGCAAGCTTTTTGAGGCTATAATCAAAAAGAAGGTTGTTGAACACCTAGATAAGAACAACCTCTTCAGTGACTAGCAGTACTGCTTTCGATCGACCCATACCACACCTGATATTCTAACTACCATCACTCACAGAATTAGTGAGTGAGGCTCTTGATGACAAACACACCTCGAGGTCCATAGCATTCTGCATAAAATGGGCAGAGTTCTTTACATAGGATGGAGACGTGTTAGTAGGTTGATTATATATGTAAGGCATATGCTTAGTACCAAGCTCTGACAATTGACTATGGGCCATAGTGGAATACTGTCTTTGAGAATTTGGGGAAGGCCATACATATGTGATAGCTTACTCTAACATTAGGTCAGCTGTCTTCATTTTCATTATGAAGTAATCCTTGTTCTTGTTCAGGATCTGTGGCAACTTCCTCTTAAATCCTTTGCCTTTCTATACCACCATCTCCAATTATGCATGAATTTTACTGAGTATTGTACATCAACATCATTGTGTTTTACCTAGACTGCTGATAATATAAAACTTTTCATATCACTCTGCAAGGTTTTTTATCCTCTTGTGATGTTCAATTTAGGCTAGGCTTTCTCTATTGCCAACTTGAGTTTAAAAACATTCAAAACTGCCTCCCCAATTAGGGCTATAATGTCTAAATATAGGTCTCACTTGATTTGAGACCTTAGTTCAATATTGCTTCTTCACAGGTACTTAAGTGATATTTGCTGATGTTGACAACTGCTTTCACAGGCTAAAAGTAGAAATTTTGTGATTTTTCATCTACTGTACTTTCTATATTTGTTATATCTTAACCCTTTCAAATTCCTACTTGTGTGACTTGCCCAGGTCATTTTGAAGTCTATTTCTATCCACTTCCAATGTTATTTGATCTAGGAACAGTTTCATTTTCGTAACTGAGGTTTCATCCAGTGGCTATTATGGATTATTTCTCTAACCAGGATGCGTTCTGCTCTTTCTGTAATTGTCCATGCCTTTCGGGAATGGATAGATTTTTGAATAGATAAGCTGGTTGGAATTAACTTAAGCTTTTTACATCTACAGAGGAATGCAGGATATTTCCACCACTGGCTTCCTAAGAGTCATTTGGCCTAGTGGATTAAAGCATTTAATCCCTGGATCAGTGGAAGTAACTGAGAAACAATACAAAAATGAATAAAACTAATGAGTATTAACTGATATGAAAGCATGGAAAATATAATAAGAGCCATCTACCTTTCCAGATGAAATAAGGGTTTAGTTCAAAGTTTACTTAGTACAATGACAGACACATGAAAAAACTAGAAGGTAAAGCAGCAGAAATATGAGTATAATAATGTTATACTCACAAGATGAACATCTGTGCTTGAATACAAAATGAATTTCATATAATAATGATTATCTCAAAAATTCTGACTTAAGTTGTAATTAAAATATTATTTTCTGGGATTTTATTTGTATATCTTCAGTGCCAAGTTGTTTGATTTGGTCTTTGTATCTATTGAGTGTTTAATAGTCTAATATTTTAATAACAATGTTGGAATATTTAGAACTTTTAGGTTTTCAAAAACATATTTGGAGGATGATTACTATACTTGTATAAGTGGACCTGTTTACTTTTACTAAGTAATAAGATGACATAAAACTTATAATAAAATGATTATAGTAAGATTTTAGTTTATATAATAACATTAAAAGAATTCCTAAGAACTTTTGCTTGTATGACTATTTCAAATTCTATGTACTTGAATATTTTCTAGACTTAGTCAGAAAGTAATAAATTTTCTCTGTAAATGATCCACCTACCTGATTATTTATCACATGAAACTTTTTTATATCCTCACTATTAGCAAAGGTGCAAAAGTGCCTTTATTTATTTATTAAAATGATTTTTAAAAATCCAGATGATTAGAGCATTCTATAGCAAAGAAAACAATCATTTTCTTTCCGTCACCTTAAATTCTTTTTACAAAATGTGCTTCAGCAAATTTAGTGCAGTTGTTTACATTAGCACTTTAATGTAATTAAACTGCTTTCAAAACCATTTCTCCTGTTGTTTGAAATTATTCCTTTTGACACATTTATAGAAGTATTTTTTGAACATTGTCTTTCCATAATGTATAATATTTCCAACTTGAAAACTAAGTGTCACATCTTTACTTTCAGAATTAAGCATTTCTCTATCATTAACATTGTGTATGTGTTGTAAATAATTACCATTTTATTATTTGAACTAATATTCTCACTTGTCCCATTTTGGTTAAGAAAAAGACACTAGTGTGGATAATTTGTGGAATAATGTAAGTACTTAATCTCAATCCTTCAGATAATATATTTGGTTCTGCTCTTGTCCAATCACCATTTAGTGCTCAATATTCTTGCAGAGTACTTTCTACTAGTTGTTTTTTAAAAATATGCAGGCTTTGTCACAAAAAAATCTTATAGATTGGATTTTAGTGCATTCAATAAATTTTTAATAATATATCTCCAGTTTCTTGTTTGAACAACTTTATGTATTATAGGATATCTGTCTAACTTGAAGATGCTTATGATTTGTATTGATTTTTTTACCCTAAATAATTGTCTTCCATCTTTTCTAAAACTTGTCTTTATGTGTGGTGCATTTGTTTTCTTTTTAGGAGCTTGGAGCTCTCTTCCAATTGTTGAAGGAGGTCTATTTGGTCCATTTGCTAGAGATGTGGAAAATGAAAAAGATGCTAAAGCCTATACATGGGAAGTAAGTTCCATGAAATTATAACTTTTATTATTTCCTGTCTGTCTTGATTTCTGTGTCTGCGGAGACACAGGTTTGTATCTGAATGTATTTACATAACTTACATACTCCTTTACTATTAATGTTTACTACTTTTTGTTTTGCTATGGCACTGATTGTAACTAAAGATTATCTATCATCTCAGAGTTAATGTCTTTATTTGAAGAGCTTTTTTAAAATCTCCATTTCTTAGGCTACAAACTTGACAAATTTGCTGTTATTTATTTATTTTTTTTTTTTTTACATAAATTGTTAGAATTCATTTAATGAAACCTCATCAGAAAATTTGCTTAAATCTCTATTTATCATGGATTGTATTTGTTTTCTTTTCTACCTAAATTACAGCAAAAACAAAAAGCTACTTCAAGCTGCTGCTGCTACTTGTCCAATGCCATCCACTGTTTTTTCTTTGTCTGCTTGTCTTTAGTGCCACAAGCTAAGCACAATCCTTGGGAGACTGTCCTCTTCTCTTTTAAGAGGACAAATATTCACACTGCATTTTATTCATCTGCAATACACTCTTGTATCTCAAAAGAAATGATCTTCAAGTTGCACTTGAGCTAGGAGTCCATGTTCCATGGATTTATTGCAGCTCTTACTCTGTTTCTATCAATGTATAGGGGATATTTTCTTTTATACATTCCCTCCATTTATTAGTAACACTCTAGTTGCTGCAAATAAAGCAAACTAAAAGATTGAACCAGAATCAATATTGGATGGTGGCTGCATGAAGCATCACCAAATTGTTGGCCTAATCTAGTTTATCTTTTTTGCAAAACTAGTTGAACTCTACTTAATTTTTTTTTAGTGATGAAATAAATTACAAATACCTAGTTTCATGTGTATATATTTTATGAGGAATTTGGGTTTGACAGAGGTAAATGCCTTTTCATTGGTGAAATATGCAAATCCCTAAAAATGTCAGTTCTGTAGAATAAGGAACCTGTTAGAATATAAACTTATATATAATCATTCATTTTTGGTGAAGCTTATGTGTAGACTACCTAATTGACAAATGGAGTGTAAGGTGCTCTCTGAAATGTGTTGTCTACACACTCATTTTAACTGCATTTCTCCCAATGGGAATACTACTGGTAATACTTTGGATACTACTAATATTTCATTTAATCTATAGTCATGTTGCATAGTTTAACAACTATATATTTAGAGGATTGCATTTATTATTGACACAACCATGTAAATATTCTAAAGAAGTAAAACTGATAAAAGTATTTTTTCTCTTGTTGTATGGTATTTTGCAAATTTCTTTAAAAAATAATTAAATAAAAATAAGACTGGTATTTGCAGGTATCTGATAAATCCGATTTTGAAAATATCTGACCCCAATTTAATTGCATAAAAATTGTCTGCCAATGGGAGAAGATAATTAGTTTGTTTCAAGCAGTCATTTAGTCCTGTCAAATAATCTGCATAAACCCTTATCTTGTTTTTTCTTTTTTACGTATACAGTTGGGCTTGCCTATGGACTATAATCAGTTTTTTCCATTACCCCCAACTGTTAAAGTTCTTTGTCAGTATTCTCCAATGCTGCAAAAGGTACTTGCCTTCTTGGTCGAAATACTGGTGTCACATCTTTTAATTCAAATTTTGCTTTTACTTTTGAGCAAAATCCAAGACCATCCCAAAAAATTTCAAGGAAAATTTGATTTGAGTTCCCTTTCAGTTTTTTGGGGGTTTGTTTGACGATCCATTTACATTATTACAAAGCATGTTTATTGGTACGTTGAACAAGTCGAATGATTCCATCCAGTCTGTACTGAATAGGTTTGTGATCGATCATTGACATGCTTTTAATTTTTTTCTTTTTCCCTGAGAAGAAAAAGTTACATTTTTTTTTTTTTTTTTTTTTTTTAATGTAATTAATGGTCTGTTGATTCTTTTCCAGGTTTCAGCATTTATTATTAAGTCTGAACCTGTGTTTAATTGAAATTTGACTTTTTTATTATTTAGTCGAACATTTATATATTTTCTTTTTATTGACTTGACTGCTTTTTGTTCAATAGTACAATGGACAAATTTCTATTTTTTGTTTTACTTTTGCGTTTTTTCCTACAATGGGAAAATTTGTCCTTTGTTCCCACAATTTTTACACTTTGTTTTTAAAAGGTACAATTTTTAAATAAATGTAATTTGCCACAGCCAAAACAAGAATTAGTTTTAAAAGAAGTTTCATTTTTCTTACCTTTTGGCTTATTCTGGACTGCATGAATATGGGAAATGTCTTGTTCCTCAATTTTCACTGTGTCTGCCCTTAAATTTAAAATATGTTGACACTCATCCATGAGATTGAAGTGTTATCTCTTGGTCTTGTTCTAGTTTCATTAGCAATCTTGATCTTATTTGTACATCTTTTGGTGTGGTCCGTCTCTGAATGAAAATAAGGCATTTAAACATATCTGGTGTAATTTCACTCAATCTAAATTTTTCACATTCTTTGACTATACTGGCAAAAGTTGTGTAGTCCTCATTTTCTTTCTTTGTAAGATTCAAGCACTGCCATCGTGTATTGAAGAGTTAACTCCGTTCCCCAAATATTTTTGTTAATATTTGTATGGTTTCCTGGAATTAAATTTCTCCAGGATGTCTTGGGAGTATAAAATTTGTATACTTTTTGTGTTTCACCATTTTTCCATCTGACCATGTTGCACTGTCTTTTTGGAATATTTCTTCATATCTCTGAAAGTATGCACTGAATGTGACTTTGTCTGGTTTGTATAAAAATTCACCAATTGAGTTGATTACAGAATCCTGAGAAAAATATTAGAGCTGCCTGGATCATTTGTTCTTTTTGAGAATTTCCAGTAATTTTGAAAACCATTTTTTATTGTTGCTCGAGTTCTTTTCGATGCCTTTCTAAGTCTTCTTGATGTTGGTCCTCAGTTTTTCCCAAGTCTTCTCAATGTTGGTTAACTTTTTCCATTTCCTGTTTGTGTAAAATTTTTTGCTGTTTTAAAAATTCCAGCATCCAAGTTTTCACTTTTGTAAGTGAGTAGTATTGTTCAATTTGTACTTCCAATGAATGTTTCTGTGTGCTTGTTTGTCCTTTGCTGCTATCGTTGGCTGTGGTATCTTTTGCTACAGTCACGTTTTATCCAATTATTTGTTATAACTTCAGTTGCAATTTCTTGAATCTTTGTCGCCAATCTGTTGTATTATCGAGGTAAATAATACACAGAGGAGCATGAGTGCTTAATATATTTATTCAGCACCAGTATCTGGTGCTAACAGATACATACAAAAAGCACACAAAACAATAAGTTACAAAACAATTAAGACAACTTACGAGGAATAGAGGAGGGTCAAATGCTGTATAGCCAAACAAAGTAAGATCAATCTGAATATTAATCAACTTAATATCGACTTATTAATCAACTGTTGAAGTCCTTAATTGTAGACTATTTAAGGCTATGAGCCAGGCCATCTGGTAGTGCTGAAGGAATGCTAGCTACACTACAATATTTTCAAAGCAGTTATCAAAATGCATCCAACTATGAACATTGCTTGAAACTTAGCTTTACATAACTGTGTTCAAAGACCTACTAGTTTTGTTTTTAAATTTATCAGTTAAAATTATTGTTACCTGAAGTGCTATATTTATAAAATCATTTTATCAAATTAAATTTTTATAATAGACACTGTATTAAAATAGATTAAATGTTTTAAAAGAAATATTTTTCCTTGATTTTTAATGTTTTATATATTATTCAAAATAAGTTAATTTCAGTCTGAATGTGTGCATTATTTATTTTGTATATTATTATAATTTCTCACTTTTCATTGACTTATAAGTTGTACTTAATGTTTTAAACTTTATTTTTGCATAAGGGTTTTACAGATCTACTTGATAGTCAGTGTTAGGTTTGACAGCAGCTGTGTTTAGTACAACAGAAAGTGGATCAGAAAACAGTAATGAACTCTTATACAAATGGCAAGCATGATAATACTAATATACATTTTTAAATTTTTTCTTTTTATGATCCTGTAGTGAACGAGATAATCAAGTACCCCGGAAAAAAGTTCGTGTTTTGTGTGCGATCTGCCGGGGAGGGATTGCCAAAAAGTAGTCAGCAAAACTCTTATAGCAACTTACCTCGTCAACCCAAGTGACAACGCGTCACGTGTATTCTGTGATTTAAAAAAAAACAAGTCCGTCGAGGAGTCGCTATAAGAGTATATTAATATGCAAATTACGGAGCATCCTATCCCGGCTGTCGACGAATGGAAAAAATAGGTTCTGCCGATAAAAGCAGTTGGTGTTGTCGACTCGAAAAAGGGAAAATTCGGGCAGTTTTGGCTACGGCGTTCGTGAGTTATTTTCCTGACGCGTTACAAGTGATTTTCTTTCTTTGTGTTGTGAAAGCCACAAATTTGCTTTGAGAACGCTTACTCTTCAGATCCTAACAAGCAAATTCCCCATCCTGGGTATGACGATAAACTGCATCCGTGTCCTAGGTAAGACGATAAACTATGTTCAACAGCTAGGATCCCACTTATGGGTTAAATAGGCCCTTTTCCCTGTCGGCAGGGTGTCTGAATATGTCGACTCCCCCCCCCCATCCCTGCAGAGAGTAAAAGCCTCTCAATGGGGCCACCTGTTGGCCGTGGGTGGCAACCCATAATGCCTGGAGATGGGATCCTGGTGGCTGAGCAATCCATGACCCAGGAAAAAGCAGCCATGGTAATGCAACACTCCACTTTGGCCCTTATCTGGGCTAGATGGGCTGTCGGAGAGGCCCGATCTGATCAATCGGCTAGTCCCGACATGCCCTAGAATATATATTTGTCCTTATTTTCTCCCAATCATGTTATACATTCTGTTCGTGTAGAATTATCAATCTGCTCTTGCGGAACTATTCCCAACCTTCTATTATATATGCTAGAAGGCGGGGGCCGAGGGTCAATCGTGTGGAGAGATATGACTGTTGACCAACATTAGACTGTTG